ATTTTGCGAAGGTATTGGATAATATGATTTATAGAAAATATAATACCAAAACAACAGAAATGGATGTTAAACTAGTATGGAATAAACTAAAAAACATTTATAGATCAAAATTATTATCTACAGAACTAAGTTGGATTGATCTCGATACTAGAAAGTCAGCTATTGAGAAACTTGATGCAATGAAATTGGAAATCAACTCTTATACTAAAGACGACTTCGCCAAGGAGTTTGCCAACTTGACAATTAATGGTGAGGATTATGTTGAAAATATTAAGAATATGTTAAATTGGAGTGCCTCTCAATTACTTATTAAATTACGTGAACCACCAAAACCAATGGAAGCAGGCGAATTACTTTCATATACCCCTGCAAATATTATTATTGAAAACACAATAAAAGTGCCAGTATCACTATTACAGCCTTATTATCTATGGGCTGCCATTTATCCAAATGCTTTAAAATTTGGAACTTTGGGCACGTTAGTTGGTCATGAGATGGTACATGGTTTTGATGACACAGGTCGAAGATATGACAAGGATGGAAATAGTAGAGATTGGTGGGATGAACTATCTACAAAAATATTCACGGCAAAAACTAAATGCTTCTCTAATCAATACAGTAAATACATATACGGTGGACGTTACCTACCAGAAAGTACTGCACAGTCTGAAAATATTGCTGACAATGGCGGAATACGTTTGGCATATGAAGCTTATTTGAATTGGTATGAGGATGCAGTGCGCTCTGGGCAAAATTTAGAATTTGAAACATTACCGACATTGAATTATACAAGTAAACAATTATTTTTTATAACATATGCACAATTGTGGTGTAGTGATAGTCATCCAAAAATAAGAGATTTGCAGACATCAACAGACTCACATGTGCCTTCAATGTTTAGAGTAATTGGACCACTTTCAAATATGGTAGAATTCTCGAAGGAATTCAACTGTGAACTAGATTCTCAGATGCATCCGTCAAATAAATGTGCAATTTATTAGAAAATTTAATAATATTTCAATTTATATAAAATAGAAGTGTAAATATAAATATAAATGTAAATAAAATTATGTTAATATTTATTGAATTAATCTAAATTAAATTAGAAGAAAATGCTTTTAAATAATTATCACTTTTTCTGTAAAATTAAATCAATTTTATGGAGCCCATGAAAATTGAAGTAGAAAATGTGTATAGTGCGAATTAAAGTCAACCCTATATTACTATAATACAGAATTATCCAGAATTATCTAATTCCTGAAGTAAACATAAATAAAACACACTTCGCATTGGGATTTTAATCGAATTTTCATTTCAGAAGATTTTTTGAACGTTGTCAGTTGGTATGAAATACACCATAATTTTCATCTTTTTTACGAAATATCTTCCAACACTAGAGCCAAACGATATCTTAGTTAAAATTTGAATAATCTTCGTTATGTTGTTTCAAAGAGTTGAGAGTTGAAGATTTGTCTGCATAAAGAGGATTCTTGCACTATAGATTTGAAGTTAATTTCTGAATGAAATAAATGACGCAAATAATGTCCATTTAAATTGTGTAATAATATGAATAAGAAATAGTATCGCAATTATATACATTCACAAGTTACAACACTACTATCCCAGAAAAATATTAGTTAATATTAGAGATTGTGTCCATCTTGAAATGTGTTTTAAGAAAAAAATAATGCAAACATAGGGAGTGATTAGAAGATTAAAGCTGATGGAATAAATCTACTAAGTAGATCTGTCAACTCGTCAGTATGTTAAAGTTCATCTTAACAAATATGCTTGCGACTAGATTGGGCACATTCCATGGATACTTTTAGAAAAGCATCAGAATGATGGTGTTAAAGAGTAAATTGAACATTTAATGTGTCACTGTGTAGCTATATGCAGACAAAGAGTTCACTCTTTAGGAGAGTTATACATCACCAAAGTAGCAGTGCTGAGAATAGTTGACCTAGTAACACAAGTAATGTTTATTATTACTAGCAGATAGCTTACTCAGCTGATTGAGCAGATAAAGTTAATTCTACAATAGTATCAAAACAGGTTATTTGTCTATGTGAGTCCCAATACTTTCCTATTCAGGACTGCCGTAAAAAGGTAACCATTTCTTTATTATATTATATTCATTATATTAAATAAAGGTACACAATATAATATTTTTCTAGGCGGCTGAGTGATCTCATGTTATCAAAAACTATTCCTATTCTTAACTGAGAAGCAATAACTCAATATATTATAGGAATTGATTAAGTAAGAATTGTCATTATTACATGGCTACTGTCATTAACCATGTCATTGGTTAATAATGTCACTTTGAAAAATAATAATGTCATTTTGAAAAAATAAATATTCCATTAAAAAAATATATATTTCTAACGAAACTCATTAATGTATTTAATATTATTTAGGTGAGTGCTTTTTGACATATGTAAAAATATATGATATAAGCACCCACGATGCAATATATCATAATATCATTTTTGACTATTTTTAGAAAATGTTATATTTTTTACATATTTTTATTATTGAAATTAATTTGAACTATTTATGTGGCATTTCTTATTTCTTTAGTGAATGTTAATATTGCCATTGACATTGCCACTGTCAAACAGAAACATTGATTCTTTCATTTAGGTTTTTTCACTTTTAATATTTTTACATTCTTTAACTTAACAGTTTACATATATATATATATAGATATATATATATTAAAAATATTTCTTTTTTTAATTTTACCTTGTCACGTTTAAGTGACACTGCTGACAACGAACTCTTTGTTGGCAAATTGTTGCGTCTTGTAAAATAATCGATTATCGATAGTTACACGATAAAATCCATGGAATGATAATCCAATTTAAATAAATTAAGTTAAGATGTTTGCAAAGTGCGTAAAAAGTATTTGATAAAATATATAAATATATACTATTAGTATAATATTATCAAACTATTTATACGACTTTATTTATATATACGGTACAACACGTCACGAAAATATATACCTTAATATTTATAATTATATTATTGACATTGGTTTACAGCAACCTATGAGGCATGAAAAGAAGAATATAGGGTATACCGATTTATGCTTTCGAGAGGATCGCCAAGAGAATTATTTACTTTTACTTTCTTCAGTTTACCAATAATAAATAGAAGATACTTAATTAATGCGAAACTTCAAGGTAAACCTAACCTTCATATTTTAAGTCTTGGGAACTTATTCTCTCTGCTACTCTCCAGTAACTGGTGTATAAGAGAACACGAAGAGAAACCGGGCAATGCTTATAAAACTAACTGAAGAAATTGTAGAAACTTATAGGAAAAAGAAGCAATTGTCTCTTTGGCTACTCAGGTTTGATTCCAGAAGAAAGAGGTTTTTAGGGAAGTAATTATTTAATAGCTTGTTGGACTGTATATCTGTTTATCGGTAAGGACGAAAGTTATACTTAATTACCTAAATTCTACGGGTTGGACTTAGTTCATTTCTTTTAAGGCTTTATGCGAGAAAAATGTTACTAAACTTATAAAATATATATACATTTATATTACTATACATTATTAACTTACCATGAGTTAATATGTTGATAGTTTCGTTGTGCCAATAGAATAAACTGAATAGACAACCCTTGAACGTTTGTAATGGACGGTAACCCTTGAGTACGTATGGATTAAATTGTAAATATTGTGGCATATCATTCCAGTGCAATAATTCCTCATCAATAGTTTTATTGACTTTGGAGTTTATAGTTGCACTGGAGACAGCCACAGTTGAGGAGTTAACTGAAGACGATGATGATACGCTTGTGGTGGTTGATGAGGCTGGTGAACTTGGTGTTGCTGCTGAATTCGTTGAGGATAAGGGTGACGGTGAGATGGGTGTAAAAAATTCCTTATTTGTGCTAATAGCAGTAAGATCATGGCCCGCTTTATCGTATGCATCAAATGTATTCGATTTTGATGACAATGGAAGTACTTTTGTTGCGAGTATTTCGTTACGTTCCGTTGAACGACGTATATTATTTAAGCCAACACCGCAATCAGTCTCTTTGCCATTATGTGTTAGCACAGGCGTGGCAATCACAGAAGATGTGCTTGAGTTCGAGTTGGAGTTCGAATTCGAATTGGAAGATGTCGGACTATTGTTAATATTATTGGTATCAGTAATGATTGTGTTAGTTTCGATGGCTTGTGTTACTATTGCAGTGGCTCTTACTGCAGCTGTTGCTGTTGCTGTTGCTGGTATTGTTGTAGTTGTTGCAGTGACTGGTGTTAGCGTTGGAATCATATGTGTAGTGAGGCATTTTTTGGTAAGTGAAACTTTGGGCGATCCTTCGGGTGATGGTGATGGCGTTGCAGACATTTTAATAATATTGCTGCCTAAATATTCAGCAACATCAATCATACATGCATTACCATTTTTATGCGTGAACATATCTGGTAAACTGCAATTCGTTGTAGTTGTTGTTGTTATTGTTGCATTCGTTGTTGTTATTGCTGTGGCAATTGTTGTCGATTTAGCTGCTGTTATACGTTGTCGTAGTATATTTGGCTCTTCATTGTCTTCAGCAGCAACAATTGGTGGTGTAGTTAATGCTACCGCATTTGTTGCATCAATTTTTCCGGAATCAACTTCACTATGTGTGCCAATTGTTTCGATTGTTGTCGTTGTTGTTGTTGTTGTAGTGGAGCTACCATTACTATTGTTGTTGCTATTACCAATGCTATTGTTGCTGCCATGGTAATCGACAACAGTTTGCATTTTTTCAAAACAATTCCAAATTTGCCAGTATGCAAAATTCACAGCTTTCACAAATTCAATTTTGGTTTTAAATATTTCAGCGTTTTTATATTAACTTCAATAAAAAAAATTGTGTTTAAAGCTTTTTCATTTCCATTCACCCGGTTCCTTTGTTTTTGTTGCTCTCTGTACTGTAATAAATTTCAATTAAAATTTTATTGTTATTATGTGTGCTGTGGAACAAATTCATGCGAAAAAAAACAAAAAGTAAAAAAAAATAAAATACCAGGAAAATATAATAAATACCGGGCAGCGGGCAACTGCAATGATAAATTATTGGCTTTGCTTTAATTCATTTATTTCCTTTGCTTATTAAGTGGTAAACAAGCGATAAAAACAAAATGGCGAACACACACACAACAACATGTATCCTTCGAAATCTATTGTTAATGCCAACAGGACAACAGCGGCCCAAGCAATACAAAAAAGAAAAATAGTAAAAAAAGGTTTCATTCCTTTTTTTATGGATAATTTTGGATCCACTCGAATTGTTTACAATGTGTCTAAATAAGTATAATTAATTTTATTTTTCATTTAATTTAATTACTACATTACGAATTATTTAGAAAATTAGGATAGCTTGAAAAATATAATAAAATATTCAAGAACCTACAAAAAAAAAAAAAAAAATTCATTGGTGGTTACATTGCTTAAACAAGATTAATCAGTGTTGATGAATATTTTTATTTCAGAATGTGATAAATTAGGCTCAGTCAACAGAAAATAAAAAGGTTCTAAAAAAATTAACTATATAAACTGTTTTTTCCGATTTATTTAGAGCAGGGCTGTTCAAAGTACGGCCCGCGGGCCATATGCGGGTCGCGACTGATGTTTATGCGGCCTGCGACATATTATTAATCTACGATAATCACGAAAATTTTCTTTTGGTGTACTGTAAAACTACATTATTTAATTTTTATGGTATACCAAATAAATTAATTTAAATTGATAAATTAATAAAAACAAATTTAACATAACTATAATTTAATTTTTGTCGAAAACAATTATGAACCTATGTATTTATTCCTGCGATTGGCCCGCGATGGTATCTGATTTAGAGGATACAAAAGTTCTTGAAAAAAATTCAATATAAACATTTTTTGCTCCAATTTTTTTGAATCTGTCCAAAGCCATTAAACAATACTTATGATTAAAAAAAAAAATTTGGATATTAAGTGAAAATCAGTTACTGCTGTTACCTCTTCGACTATTTCATTAAATGGATTTAAAATATCTTTAAAACAATAAGATATGACTGATATCTTTTCTAATGAAACGAGCTTTCTTAAGTTTGTGCTAACTAAGTTACGACAGAGTTCATGTGAGCTTGAAGGTGAGATACGCACAATCTGTTAAATTATTCTACTTCTTCTGTTAATATCAGTATCATTATAATTTGTGTAATTTGGAAGGTTCATTTTTGCATAGAATTGATACAAAAACTATTAAAAGTTTAAAGATTTTTTTGATCTGGGCAGTATAAACCGAGAGCACTCATTTCCAGTGGTACCAGTTTCACATTTCCAGTTGGATGCCACTAGTAAAACTCACATACCACCATTTATACTCGAAACAGTAAACAGTGGTATCTACAGGATTTTAGTCACCATTTATGGCAAGCATGCGCTTACCTCGGAAATATTGTAACCCCTTCTACGTGGACTAGCTAAACCACACAGTTGTATAAAGGCAGACGATCTCAAGAACTTTTTCTTGTTTTATAAAGAAGAAGTTTGTTATACCATATAGTGAGAAGAAAAACGTCAGAGTATTAACTAGTGCATTTTCTTTATCATATATATATATTCCATGCTCGCTGCCTATCTGACTACATGTGAAAGTATTCAGCGCTGTGATATAAGTATAATTCCTTATTTAGGAGCACATTCCTTATTTAGCTTATATTGTTTATTGTTTATCGTTATAGTTACATTTACCAATTTTACTTTAATATTTATTAAAGTATTTTATGAATCCTTAGTCAATCTCGTATCGAACAAAGGGTGTACTAACAACAACAACAAAAGTTGCAATTACTAAGTGTTATGTTTCCGAAAGATTGCCAATGAAAGTTAAATATGTTTTAGTGGTTTCTTTATTCAATTTATCTAAAAAGTGTCAGTGTGTAATATAACAGTGTCATGTATTAATATCACATATAGAACAGTAAAATGTGTATATAGAATAAGATCAGAACGCACTTTGGGGTATACCGACTTTAGCTTATATTTTATTAACTTTAATTAATAGAGATTCGCCTGTTTGCAATATCTTAATTTCTATATTATCTTTCGGAATATTGGTAGTGAAAGATAAGATCAGAACATTATCTTAAGGCATGTCACTTTAGCCTTGTGTATTGTTGTGGTCACTTCAGTGAACGTAACTAAGAAGTATTTGTCTGTAAGATATGTATGTAATACTTTGTTACAGACGTACATGACATTATTTTTAATTCTTGAAATTTAGACTTAAACTTAGTAAACTTAGAACTAGAATTTAGCACTTAGGCTTAAAGAACAAAGTACTTAATTTGCTTGAAATTTTTAAAAACTTCTTTTAATTCTTATTTAATTTAAACACTACTATTCGCCAGTTAGAAATTGCACAAAGTCAGGGTCTGAGAAGACTTTTCAAAGTTCCATGGTGCATTAGGACGAATGACATCCTCAGTGACCTCAAGATTGATCCGATCAAAAAATACATAAAGGATAGAGCACTGAAATTATTTGCGAAAACTGACAGACTTACCAACACCACGCTATCAAATCTTAGAATGGTTACAGGCTCCTCGGGGAGGTGTGCAGATCTGAGGTAAATTATTGCTTAGTCTGATGAAGTGATAAACAATAATCCAGTCAAGACGTAAAGAGGGGTTTTGAAAACCTCGAGTTAAGAAAGAGTAAAAATGCTTAAGTGCACTGGCTCAAATAGCTTCAACATAATAATAATACTATTATATTTGATTTAGGTTAATTCAACAATATTATACCATCGAAGTTTATTTATGCAATCCTTGAAAACTATGTAACATACAAATGTTGTCATAATTTAAAAATAATTTTTAAACAAAAATATAAAAATTTTTTAAGTCCTTAAATTAGAATCCATGTTCAACTGAAAAGAATTAGCTGTGCCAAAATTTTTCATCACCTCCAACCGATATTAAGAAATGAAAATCTCAATGCTAAAAACAAGAAGCTGATGTATAACCAAATAATTAGTCCGTCACTTCTATATGGTTGTGTGGCGTTTAGCAAGCCTCAAACACTACTATTCGCCTGCTAGAAATTGCAAAAAGTCAGGGTCTGAGAAGACTTTTCAAAGTACTATGGTATATTAGGACGAATGACATCCTCAGTGACCTCAAGATTGATCCGATCAAAAAATACATAAAGGATAGAGCCCCGAAATTATTTGCGAAAACTGACAGACTTACCAACATCACGCTATCAAATCTCAGAATGGTTACAGGCTCCTCGGGGAGGTATGCAGATCTGAGGTCAATTATTGCTTAGTCTGATGAAGTGATAAAGAATAATCCAGTCAAGGCGTAAAGAGGGGTTTTGAAAATACCTCGAGTTAAGAAAGAGTAAAAATGCTTAAGTGCACTGGCTCAAATAACTTCAACGTAATAATAATAATGTTTGAATTTAAGTTAAGTTATTTAAATTGGTTTCAGTATTGTGAGTTATCTTCTATATATCTATTATAAGATTTAATAACAATCGATTATAAAACCAAAATTTATATGGATACGCTTGAAATTACTATTATATGTCAGTATAACTATAAATTTAAAAAGCAATAAATTTAAACGCATTCAAAATGTGAAAAAAAATATATGAACAAGAACTGCAAAAAATGCATATGTGCAAAAGCAAGATAAATCACGGAAGTGCTTTAGATAAGAGAAACACATTTCCACAACACGAAATAATGAGTGGGAAATGGTAGCACTTAAACACCCACAAACCCACTTATAACCAAAGCATAACTTAAATAGTTCATTATAGTACAGAATGTAAGAATTCTTAAAGCTTTTTAACCTTCTTAAGCTTCAATTCTGATCAGTTGTTGTGTGTAGTAAGTTTCCATAAAAAAGAAAAGTCACTCATACGCAGTGTTGGGCATATTGCAGGTATGAAGTGCAAAATGTTTAATTAAAAATATGTTTTATTTTTTTTTGTGATTATAATATTTAAATTATTTGATTAATATTGTTCATTTTAATTTAAAAATTTCCTAAATTTATTTAATTTTAATTTTAAAAGCTTTTTATTTTCTGTAGCACAATATTAATAATAATTAAAAAATTGGAAAAAAATTTTCTATAAAGTAAACTTTCTTTTGAATTCTTAAAAAGTAAAAAAAAAAGCAATAAATCGAAGTGTTGCTGAAGAGTGCACTTCCGTCGGAAGTTGCATAAAGTGTACAACAATCAAAGCATCAAAGCATAAAAATAACAGCATTTTAGTTGCTGTCATTGCCTGTAAGTGTCTTGATAATGTTTACATTCAAGTGTACAAACATAAAAATAGTGTGCCACATACTATAATGTTGGTTCTTCAAAGAGATGCCGACATCAATGCAGCCGTGAGATAATATTTATATAAGCATTTATGTGCTACTTAACAATTTGCTATATAGAGGAAAATTTTATATATTTACACTTTAGTGGCTGTTTTTATTGTTTGTCGTCATGGCTGATGATGTTACTGCCGCTACTTCCTAAGTGTATTCGTAAAATGTTTGTTTTGTTATTGTTGTTGTTGTTATTGTTGTTGCTGTTGCTTAATATGATGAATGCAACATTTGGTTGGAAGGCGTACTTATCATTCGACTTGTTAATAAGCAGCAACTTGCCAAAGGACATATCAAATATGTAGGTAAGAAAGAATATTTCTTTCTTCTAAAAGCAAAAAAGAAAACTTCTTTGAAAATATGGTGTAAGGCTGTTAAAATATGAATGTCTTGAGATAAAATAATTGCACCTTTGAATTCTTAAGAAAATAGTTTTTTTTTTTAATTAAATTTTATTGTTATTTATTTAAGTGAAACTAATATTTGATATTTGGCT